AAACTGATATATAATTATTTCCTTATCTTGGGTTACATGTGGTCCTACACAAGCATTCTCCTTTAAAGTGATATGGTTTGAGTGCAGCAAAAGTAGCTAAGCATGAATGGTATTGATTTTAAATATCATATTATTCTGAGAGATGGAGTTCTTGACTAGTATGAGTCCAAGTTTTCAAATTCCAATTCTTTAGATATTTAAAGAAGGATATTGCAATTATTGCTTGGGATCTTACAAGAGAAGATCTGAGTGAAGTAAGTAGACATTAGCAGTTACTGGTAACTTATGTTTTGAATTTCCTTAGATGGTGGATGAACCATTTGAGATGAATAATACAGCTGAGTTTTGGACCTCTTCCTATAACTTGTCCTGAAGTCAAACCCTGTTCTATGGAATGGAGCTGAGGAGAAGCAGAAGAAAGACCCTGGGAAAGCTAGGATTTCCAAACGATGTGGAAAACAATAAGGTAAGGAATCTTCCAAGTATGTAGTTAACCATTTTCTTACTTGTTTCATTATTGTTTAAAAAAAAAAAAAGTTAACAGCAGAACATCTACGCCTCTTTTGAGCTCATGCTTATGCTCTGTTTCTTCAGCTTTACTGGAGTAATAAATGATAGTGCATTTTTATATGTTAGGTTTTTTACATCTGGACATTTGTGTTTTCTAAGTCATAGGGGTTTTTGTGTGTGTGTATTTTGACCCGTATAGTAATATAAATCAATTGATTGTGTATAAAAGTGAAGGTCATGGAAATCTAGGCCATGAATATAGTCAACTGGTAAGGGAGGGAGGAAAAGACCTCAGTGGATYTCATCTCATTTGAAAAGGATGTCTCAGGATATAGTTGCACTTACTGTAGGCACAGAGCTTCAGCTGTCATTTATGGTATTACCCAGCCTGGATGGTGAACCTGGACTGGAAACTTCCTGCTTTTCTCAGACATTCATTTCCCCTGTCAGTTTTGCTAGAAAAAACTGCTGAAAGACTGCATGTCAACGAATTGATCTGAGTGGGAAAAGAAAGAAAGGATAGGTGGAGGAGTTATAAGCAGGAACTGCTTTCTCTCTCCACATTGCTTTGAGCTTGATTGCCTACGTGGTGTGAATATTGCCTACTGTCTAATCCAGCCCGTGAATTTTATTTATCTTATGGAGGCTAAGGAGACTGTTCACCATTGCAATTCAGTGGTGAGCTTTTTTATTGATTTTTAACTGTTCCCACTCCTTAGTAGTATCATACGCATACGTGCCCATGGCCTGCCCATGACCTGTCAGTATTGATGGAGTTAACTAAGGGGCAGAAAAGAGACAATTGACTCAAGAGAATCTATATTGATACATATTGTCCTGTATATTTTCACGTGTATATATGTATGCTTATGTGCAACTGTTCTACTAACTTAAGGTGAGTTTTAATGTATTATTCTCTGATTTATAGCAAATCTCATTGTAATTTAAATCTACTCTGAGCAGTAAAACTAAAAATTTAAATATTTAAAACTAAATATACTGATTACTGGTTTACTGAACAACCATCATAGGAAAATGTTAGCATTTTTGAGTGTGGATAATGACATTCTGTCGCTCCAGATTCTCCAGGGGAGGTTGAGGGCCAGCTTGAGAAGGGTGAGACATTGCTGGTGCAGAGCTTGTGCAGTAGCAGAGCTCTGAYGAACTCACGTGACGACTATCTCCTTGTCACACATCTGACCTAAAACATGCAGAGCAGCCTTCTTTGGGTTCACTGGGATTCTCCTACAGTCGTGCATATTGCAGSCGCATGTGTTGCAGGTCTCCATCTTCCTCCTCCCTCTTTGCTACACTGGACTGGAAGTTCCTTCTGCTTCTCCTTTTGCTAACAATTGTCTAAAAACTGAGCAGAAATACTGGCTCCAGCAATTCTGACTACAGCACACCCACTAGAGAGCTGCTGTTATTCTAGATGGGCTTGTAAAATGTCTGAGTGAAGTGGCAGGACTTCTTGAGAATCACTGTTGTCTTGTTTCTCACTGTTCAGTCTTTCCTCAGCCTCGCAGCTTGGGAAAACRTTCTGAAAAGATACCAGTTTGCACTTGCTCCATCTTGAAAATGGTCTTTAACTGATGGCCATTCTCAGAGGCAGAAAAATGGGCAGGATGGATCTTTGGGCCCCKGCATTGAGCTGTTGTTGTGTTGCCATGTTCTTATGTGACAGTATCGTACCAGCATCACCTTCTCAGTGAGTAGGATTTTGTGCACTTTTTTCACAACACCTCTCCTATCAAATGGGCTGTGGGAAATGAATGTTTTAGAAGCAGCTCTGCCTCTCCTTAGGAACCCAGAGCAGTTCCCATTTGCATTTAAGCTTGCTATTTGTTGGATTTGTGAAACTCCTTGAGTGAATAATATTCATTGGATAGAGATTTGAAAACAGAAGGTCAGYGATAAGAGATTCAGCTCCTAAAATGCTACTTCTTCCACTTCACCTTATTGTTTCCTTTGTTTAGATACTGGGAAGAACAGTGAAAGTACAGAGTCCTTTTGCTTTAAGTCTGTTCTGTCTTTGCTGACAGTGCTCTTTATCAGTAACTGGTCCTTGTTGGATTTACTCTTTCCTCTACATCATGCAAATGCCTCAAAAACAGATGGTTGTGGTAGATTCCCCTCTGAAGTTGTGTAGTCTTGAAAACTCCTTCTTTTCCCTTTCCCAGAAACTCTGAGTAACTGCGATGAGTGGATTTCTCTACAACGTCACTTTACAGGTCACGAGGTTAGCTCGCTTTTGTCTTCTTACTTCAGCTGTTTCAGAAGAAATCCTCTGTGTTCTCTTGAATTGTAAAGGCTGCTCAGAATGAGAAGCCTAAGTCATCCATTAATCCACAGGCAAAGTGCTATTCAAGCAGCTGCAGTGAAAGCTCTCATGTGCTGCCCTGGAAATAACCTCAGCCTTGACGTGGTAAGATGACCCTAGGTGAGGTCAGAAGCTCAGTTCTCATTTTCATTTAAGCTTGTGATTTTTAAATAGTGCTGGTGTTGTCCCATGAGGTCCCGTTGATCTCTTGTTGTGCAGATAGATCCTCGGGGAGAGGGACAGAGAACTAAAGTCCAGAGAGATTAAGCTTTATCTGCTAAACATTGCTACTCCCTCCTCTCAATTTACTGTTATTTTGGCTTAAATATTTAATGAGCATGACCCCATGTGAGAGCAGCAAATGGTATCAGGATTTTTAGAGTAAGCTGCTTTGGAGAGGCAAAGCACCTGGTTTAATTCCTCCTGGAAATGSAAGTGATTTGCAGGTGTCSCAGCAAACTGAAGTTACAGTGGTAGGACAGGTTTAGATCTGTACTTTCCCATGGAGTGCCGTGAATTTGAAGGATGTGACTGCACAGTGTAAGAAATTGCATCTTGTGACTGGGATTTCGGGAAGACAAAAGAAAGTTACATACCATTGGCTAGGCACCAAGCTAGGCTTAAATGGAGCCCTGGGTGAAACCTCATTCCACTTTTTTGGAAAGCCTGCCTGTGATAGCTCTCTTGCGAGCCTTCTGCACGTGCCTTGTGCAGAACATGCACTGCAGATTGCTCAGAGTGACTTTGGTGATTTCMTATCTAAAACTGTATTTAGATGAAATATAAGAGTGCCAGAGTTAGACTCTGACTTTTCTGTCTGGTACAAATAAGGACCAGTGTCCTTACTGTGAGTCAGTGTGAGCTGATGGGAGAGTCACCATGATGCTAAAATCCACACGCAAAGTAGCAGTGTCTCTTCCTCTTACAAGCGCATCTATACTAGCAGAAAACAAAACAAAACAATGAAACTTAACTGTGTAGCCAGTCCTTCTGGCTTCAGGCCTGATATTGAAACAAATAAACCGCAAAGGTTTCTGGAGACAGTGGATGTAGACACTTATTCCAAAAAATGATGACTACAGAAGAACAACTTCCAGAAAGAGTTGTCCCCACTCTCAATCCTAAAGCAGAGCTATCCAAGATCTAATTTTCTTGAGCTTCAGAAGTCTTATCAGACTATCTGGAGTAACCACATCTAGGAAGTTCTTCAAAGTTATAGCCCGTGTGTGAGGCTTTCTAAATGAAAAGGATCTACTTGCAGTTCAGTCACACATGTTTCTTATTAAAAAYGGAGGTTTAGTGACATCTCATGTCAATTACAAGACTTTAAAAGGAAGTGATTACATGTGTGTATATATGCAGTACTTATATATATATTCTAAGACAGTTTTTTAGCATTTACGTTTTCTGATTGCATCTATCTGTAAGATTATTGAAGTTTCTGCTATGCCACTATGTATATTCCTAAGTACTTTTACCTGCTGTTTCCAATTTATTCTTAGGTAAGTCTCCTCTGAGTGRTCAGATTTGCTAACAGTCTGGAAACTTCCTTCCCTCCAGTTTTGATCCAGGCTTTGTTTTTTCACTTGAATTCTACTGAATGGGTCAATATACATGAGATTTAATGAGAGCACTTTGTTCTTTGGTTCTGGTATGTTTATTTGTGCCAGACAACTTGCCTGCTTTCATCCAGAACTGAGGTTGTCCAGAAATAACAGTGCTCAGCCCAGTCCTGCCGTTGTATCCATAGTGACACTGCTTTATTTTGCACACTCTTCATCATAGCATCCCAGTTCAGCTTTTTGCTCTTAAGTTCGCATGATGGCATCGATATGTGCTTTAGCTGTGATATTTGAGTGAAGGAAATTTGAATTTCACCTTATTTCAGTTATTTCTAGGGAGATTTCCTCTCTGAACGTGTCCATCAGATCAGAACMGTTTGCCAGTGACCTTGGCAAGACGAATTCCATGTGCATCAGCAGCACCGCAGCCCCAGCATGTTGCACGTAAGGAAGAAGTGGGTGGTTCTTTAATGGAGAGTGTTCTGAAGTATTTAAAGCACCTCATGATAAAGCCGACTTTGTCCTAAGTAGAGATTTAAGGACTTTCACCCTGCTCCAGGTGCCGGCTGCTCACCACCACCGCAGGGAGTRGAGGGCAGAGCTCTGACTTGTATAAGCCTGGGAATGTGCGAGGCCTTGGGAGCTCCAGCAGTGCTGGGCAGAGCTGTCAGCGGTTCTGCCTCCGCTCTAGGTGAGTTGTTTGTACGTGGAGCCACCACGGATGTTAGGAAGGTGTTTTTGCCTTAAATTCAAGCTGCCTGTCCTAACTGTGGGGAGGCCTAATGGGAGAGCTACAGCTCATTTGGAACTTAAATTATTCTGATTTTCCTTTTTGTTGGGAGGGAACAGCTGAAAGGGCAGTGCTGAAGGACCACTGTTAAATTGTCTAAATTCCAAATAAAGCCCATTTTCTCCTCTCTGGTTTTAGGCTTTTGGGCTCAAAGATATAACCTGAATGAGGGTCTGCACGCCTGAGGCTGAGCATCTCCTTAGTACTTTGCAAAATTTCAGCTATAATGCAAAATACATTAAATGCAAAAATAGTGGTATAAATTGTCTCTCTTTTTTTTTGAATAAACACTGGCATAGTGTAACACAAGTCTGCTGCAGATGGGATGAGATGTGGTCTGCAACTTCACATGGTCCTAGTTAAAACGCCCGTTGAGTCACTGGAGCAGGGGTSTCTCCTGGTTCCAAGTGCGGCTCTTGCTGCAGCGCGTACGAAAGGGAGTGCTGGCAAACGTCCCCAAGTTGTTATTTGTGGATTTGCGACACAGAGTGACCTTCTATAATCAAGTCAAGGAAATGGAAAGAACCAAAACCACTGACAGGACTGACTCGAAGTATTTTGTGAGGTAATGGGCTCAGATAACATCTTAACCTTCTGGAGCAGACAGCTTCGAATTGGAGCCGGATCAAGTCCTCCCCCTGCCTTGCTCTAGCAACAGTCTTTTCAGCAGCTCAGTCGTGATTTTGACATTTTATTTTTCATTCCTGTGATGTAGCTCTTGTCCTTTCTGGTTTTAGAAAGAGAGCCTGAGATAACTGGCTTTTCTGATATTCCTGAGAGGTAAGGAAATGCTTTGGTGCGCAGCTTCCCTCATTCCTCATGGAATCTTTTTCTTGGGAATCCGTGGCAGAAGAGGTATCAGATGAGAGAAAAAATATTCACTCTCTCGCRCTGCATCTGTGCCCTGCCTACCAAATTTCTACAGGAATGTAASTGGTGTAAGAACCATTACTCATGATCCAAGTGGCTGCATGGAGGGCATGGCTTTTACTGGAAGGCTTTACTGCGTCTTTGGTGTCAATCAACAGCCTGTTGAGGCTGCCACAGATCTAGTTTATGCAGTCTGTGCTTCAGGGTAGGCTGGTTGAAGGCAGAGATTGCACCAATATGCACAGAAAATAAATAGAGTTGCAGAAAATGCAAAGCAGTCAGTCGGCTGGCAAAGGAGTCTGTGACAGGCACAAAGCTGTTGTGGGTGGTAATGGCTAGGGGAGCTTAACGTGTTTGTGAATGTGTTGCCTGAAAGAAGATTTGAGATTTTGTGGCGTATCTCTGTTCTGGGGCAGAGTGGCTGTTGGTCTTTTTTAAAATGTGTATATACATATACAGTATGTGCAAATTTCCCCTTTAGTAAACTGGGGCAAACTATTATATAGATAGCACCATTTTGTACAGAATCCTTACAGGGGACTTGAGACCTTCCAGTACCTTCGTCCCCTCTGCCTCTCCTTCGGGTAATTTCATCTTTATCTGATAATATATTTACAAATTATTTGTTCTGTCCCTAATGAAATGTGACCAAGTTCATTTGCCTAACTCCAGTGTATTCATGGACCTCGTGCTGGGCAGCACTTGGCTGCAAGAGAAGTAACYCCAAACGTTCGTGCCTGATGGTTATCGTGGGACCTTAGCAGCACCGCGGCATGGGTCATACTTCCGTCACTTATGACCTTGGCTGCTTACAAAGCCCTGGGAATTAAATGTTACTGAAACCCAGTCCCTGAAGCCCAAAGAGACACGTTTAATTGGACAATTCCAGAAATTCTCACATGCYGTCAGTTCTCCTTACAAGAAACGCTCCGGAAGGAACAGCCACTCTGTGGTCATGATCGTTAGAGCATCTCRTTCGTCGCATATTTGGGTGGTGATTCCCCTTTCAGAGAGGGTGCTGGGCAGCCCTGCTCCACATGTCGTACGTTATCAGGCTTTGTGCTTCCCAGTGGAAGCTGYTCTCCTGCTCCATCCATGGAACAGGAAAGGGGAAGGGAARGATAAAAGCCTCAGGCAGGTACAATCCGTATTTAAGATCTCCGAGTGCCAACTTCCAGAAGTCAAGAGTTGCTGTTTCTCCTGTATCAGTCTGAGCAGTCTTAGCAAGTACTGAGCCCTGCCTGCTCTTTGTAGATGGACCATTATATAGCATCCATCCATCTCATCTGTCTTCACTAGGAGACTGCACAGCTCCCCACTGTCCCGGAGAGCTTATACATCACAGTAAAAAATAGGGGATTTTTACAGCTAGAAATATGCTAGCAAGAACCGCTGATTCTCTGTCACTACCTCGGGCCATTAAATGTTTCTTCTTATTTGATCTTATTTTTAGAATGATTTATGGATGTTTGTTTATTACTTTCTTTAGAGAATTTGTGGGGTTTTCTGCACTTGACAGAGTTCGTTGCAAAATCAGCTGCCTCAAAATAGGAACTTTTTATGGAATGCAGCTATTATATGAAGTTGTTGCATACTCCTGTATGTACACTACCTCCTATATTTCTCCTCCTTTTTATTTTTCATAAGTTATTTTACAACCGTAATTTTCATGTCTTGCATTTTTCTCTCTCAAGTTTCCTATGTCCTGTGGTTACATCTTGTCCGTAAATCTTACGCTGCTTTGTTAMAAATAATGGGTCTGCTGTTTTTCTTCATTTAACAATCTGTTAGATTAATATTAATCCTTAAAGCAATTTAATATAGTTCTGTGGTTTAATAGTCTAACTTTKAATGCCCTGTGAAGGAGAAACTATAGACATTTTCATATGTAATGTACTTCCATTTCAAGTGCTGCCTGGTAATTCTTGTCAAGGCCTTCACCGAAATCCCTTTTTCATAGTGCTGCAGGCAACAGATGAAAAGTATAAGATCAAGGAAATCTTCCTGTGCAGTTTTGGAAATGAAATCTCAGAAGTGACTGGACAGCAAGTCAGGCTGTAACTTAACTGTTAAACGTGGTGTCTGAGCCGAAAAAGCGTTTACAGCTTCGGACTGCATGGAAGGCGTTGTACCAAGCAGGCAGAGAGAAGGCTGGTGTTTCTGATTTCAAGGCGGCTGCGAGGAGCTCTGCTTCCTTGTGTGCAGCAGGGGCTGCCGCCCTTGGAGCGCATCCCGCCGCACGGGCTGCTCGGCCCGGCGGCCCCGGGGGGCTGCGGTGGTGCAGGGAGCGTGGGCCCTTTGTGCGGGGCGCTGTTATTGTGCGCGCTCACAATGCGGGCCACAATGGCGCTGCCCTCCCTCAATGGCACCCGAGCAGCGCCGACGGGCGCGTAGCAGCGGGTTCTGAAAGCGRGGAGCCGAGAAGCTGGCTTGTATTGCCACGGCTTTCCAGGCCGGGCGCAAGGCCTCCTGCATCTCCAACAATTTGAAAGAATAATCTTGTTTTTATTTTTGTTTTATTAAGCAAATAATTAGCAGGCTGAAAAGCTGACTGGCTGGCAGTTGAGCTTGGGGAATAAATATGTATCCTTGCTATGCCTGAGTTTTATAACCATGTGGGGCAACGTGCTTCTGAGCAGACTGTGTGTTTGCCCCTCAGGGGGGGAAATGCAGAGCCCTGTGAATGCTGGGCCAAGCTTCTACCTCACCCCAGCACTGCAGCCCTGGCCAGGGGCTTTGGTTTCACAGTAACACGCTCCCCAGGCTCCAATTTCCCTGCTTCACCACAGGCCGTGCCCTTTGGTTATACTTAAATCAGCACATGCCTCATACAAAAGGAGAACCTGAGGCCCCAGGGCATCAATCATTAAAGGCAATATTGACACGGAAGGCGAATTTCAGCAGGGCTGGTATCCGGAAGAAAAACAAGCTGTGGTTATAATGATAAAAATGAAAAAGCCTGGGAACTGAGGGATGTGATGTTGAGTTTGGGTGGGTGACAAAGAAGGTAAATTAATTTGTAACTAATTAATTTGTTTTGCAAGGCTTTCTTGTACCTTTTCTACCTGAGCTTCTGGACAAGAAGTAAGTTCTTTGTGGTCCACAGCTATAGGAGTTCCTATGAAAATAGAAAAGCACCTGCAYGATGAGTAAAAAGTATTTTTAGTTTTCCAAAACTGTCAAACAAAGCAATTGTCTTTGGTATTTTAAATAAGCAACTTGTTTCACTCCCTTTTTTTAGTGACGTGGCTCTTTCTGAAAGAGGAGAATTAATTTCTAAGTTGACCACAATTGAGGARGGACAGGAGACCCTCAATGTGAACTGGCAAAGAACTCAGTAGATCAGAACACAGGTGAAATATATTGTGGAAATGATTTTGTTTCTGTATAATAGTACAAGAAAAAAAAAAAAAAGGATTATTAACTGCTGTGTGCATATGTTACACAAAAATTAAAAGATCAATAAAGACTGTGATTTGTCTAGACCATGGCTTTACTCTATCTTTATTCTTTAATTTATGTGCCTTTATTCTAGTCAAGTGCACTTGGGGCTTGTCAGAAAAAAATGTAGTATTTGGAAGCTCGTACGGGCGTTAAAAACTCTTCTTTGGTTAAGTTCTCTTAGTTTCACAGAGGGAATACTGTTCTTTCAAGTTTTTCTCTTTGAATTCTTGTTCCAATTAAAATGTGCTTTGAAATTGTCTTGTGTTCCAGACACCCTTGCCATGAGAAAATCCGAGATCCAGGAAAGCACAGGGAAAATGTGTTCCAGAGCCTTTTGAACCAGGTAATGCCACATTTAATTCACAGCATGGAGTACCAAGTCCCAGAAATATTGTCCTTGCCATTCACGGACCTCTGCACTCTCCACACGCCAGGATCTGGTCCATGCAAAAGCTCCCAGACATCAGTGCCTCTTTGCTTCAGGGCCTGAAGACAGATTCATAAAATATTTGTAGCTGTCAGTCTAGTGCATCAGCAGGAACTGCATCTATGCAGAAAACCCATCTGATGTAGTGTTAGGATCATTTTGGAATTGCAAATGTTCTACAGCTTTTTATTTTATATGTGTGTGTGTGTGTGTACATATGCATATTATATATTTTGTATATAAGATATGCATATGCATACTGTATATATTTGATCTGCATGTATATTTGATCTGCACGTGTGTGTATGTACTCATATGTATGTGTGAAATAGAGACACACACATATATATTGCCTTGGAAAACTCATAAACCTGACTTCGGGCTCTAATCTGCCTAAATATTCTTGAGAAATTGTAGGAGAATCTGTGATTTCTTTGGTACTAGAATGTCCAAATGTGGCTGGCGGAGATGAAAAATGTCTTTGCCTGAACTTTCAAATCTCATTTTGATTTGTCTTTGTTAGAAGCATGGTACCCAGCCTTTCTTCCTGTTAGAGTAAGCTGACAAGAGATGTCTTGTTATATAAGACCTTATTTTTACTCTTACAATTCTGTTAAACCTTTCTTGCTTGCTCTGACAGACCAGAGAACAGATTATCTGCTCTGGCCTCTAGATTTGCTTTATTTTTATGTTTCCCCGACATTAAAATAATAATAATAATAATAATAATAATTCAAAAATTGAAGCAACCGGGGCTATCCCACCCGAACACACTTTATTGAACAAATGTTTTTAAGATGAGGAAGTGCCAGAGGGTGGGTTCCTGGTGCGCGTTGCCCGAGGGCGTTTTGCACTTGCTGCTCTGTGTCCGGCTCTGGGCGGCTGTGGTCGCCCCAGCGCCGGGGATGGAGGCAGGAGGCCGCTCTGCGGAAGGGGACGAGGTGCAGCTGGCCTGGGTTTAGCCACTAATGAGAGCTGCTGTTTCTGCAGGTGCTGAGTGAGTCGCTTAAACCAGCGCCTCCTGCGTCCCATTTCTGGCGCTGCGACCTTGCGCATTTGGGCAAGTGTGAAAGCCAAAGGAACACGGAGTTTATGAATGCTGGAAAAAATTGGAGGGGAGAAAGAAATCAAGTCATGAATTTTGCACCTACATCTCGACTTCATCAAAGCCCCATAACTGCAGGAAACGGATGGTTTGGAAGCTCTCAGGTATGTTGCGCTGCATGGTGATTTGGGATCTGAGTACAGTAAATAAGGATGGAGGTCTTTTAATGACCATCAGCGAGGGAAATAAAACCTGGCATAGCTTTGCATTAAGGAAAGGTACCCGCTGCACGTCCTGGAGGAGGCCTAACWTCTGTGAGTAAGTGATGCTTTAGTAACGTTGGAGGAAAGCTTTAGTTTTGGCATTTCTGAATTAATAATTCTGACTCCATTTCAACTTAAAGGTGATAATTTTAGCAAGACACTTTACGCATTTACTTTGATAACRTTCACATAGCAGTGATGCTCTTGCTCGTGCTAGATGGAGACCAGTAGAAAGCGATGTTAGTTGGTCATGACTTTATTGAATGAGTAGTAAATAGGACTTTGAATGCAGACAATAGAGCAGAACAGTGTACTTTTAAATTTGGATMTAGATATTCTTGGATGCAACAGGAGTTCCTGTTACATCTTGAATGCAACACAGCAAGTGAGATAGAAAGCAGAAGGCAAGCTTTCTTCATAGAGAAACTCTTTAAGGGCTTAAAAAGAGGGGCTTTTTCGTGCTTTTTAGTTCGGATGTCTATTCAGTGAAACAGGGGTTTATACCAAACTGTGGTATAAAGTGTGGCAGCTAAGAAGGGCCTTCCGTTGTTTTTTGCCTTGGGAACAGTTGAGCAAGAAGGCAAACAAAGCCTGGGCAGCTCCGGGGCGTTGTTTCCCCAGGCCCTGGTGGGTGCAGAAGCGGTGCCAAGAGCACGGCTGGCCAGGGGGATGGATGGATGGATGGATGGATGGATGGATGGATGGAGGAAGATCTTGACCCTGCCAGCGCACAGCTGAGGACTCTCGCACCACATGCTCCAGCGGGGATTCATGCCTGCCTCCCAGCAGTGCATTTGCAAAGCTTGTCCGTGCTTGTCCCCCTTCCAGGGATACCCCTGGTAGTGCCTTTTCCCGCCTCGCTCTTGGGCAGCCTCACGGGCGCGGGGCACAGGSCGGCAGCGGGGAGCGAGACGCTGCCCGGCGCCTCCGCGGAGACCCTCGTGGGCGGCCGCAGGTGAGCGCGGCCGCGGCGCGGGGGTCTCGCGCGGGGCCGGCCCG